GTGATGACAGTGGTGGCAGCGGCGCTCGTAGAGCCACCATTTGTGCAGTGTTAGTTCACAAAGCATCCTGACAGACAAAATATAGCCATGTTGTGCTGCGTGATTAATGGCCTTAGTGACAACAGCAGCAGAAATTTAAACGCTGTAAGCTTTTACAGTGTCCCGGCTGTCCGATCGTCGCGAGGGGAAAGAGGCTGAGGAGCTGAGCCAGCCAAAGAGAAACTCATTTGAGAGAATGAACTGGAGAAACTTTAAGCATCTCCTCATAATGTTGGCAAAGTCTGCTCTCATCAGTCTGACACAGTGAGAGAGTCAGGAGTTCTGGAGTTTTCCAGTGTCGACAATTATTCCTAATTGGCAATTAACAATGATCGATGATTCAGTTTTGCAGCCATTGATGTCGAGATCTTTTATGCTAGACAATGAATGAAGATGAGAGAAAGCTAGCACGTTAGCAGGGCTCACGTTAGCTTGAGCTAACATCAAGCTAATACTGATTAACCCCACCAAACACAGATAAGCAGCTGTTAATCAGTTTTGTGATGACGACAGCGTTTGATGGTGTAATTCAGGCGTGTCGAACTGGGGTTTCTAGTGCTGTGGAGATCAGTGTTTACCCTCATCTCACGCTCTGAATTCAGATCATGAAGGCCTTGCTAATTAGCTAATGAGCTGAATCAGGTGTTTAATGAGGCAGTGAGTTGACGTCTGCAGTGTTTTGGCCCGTGAGGAAAGAAGGAATATGGCTAACCCTTCCACAGACCTAATAGTTATAATTCTACCCATTTGTATGCTTTTAGCTTCTGCTGTGCTCAGGCTGATGCAGTATTTACTGTAATTATACATGTCTGGATATGTTACTGAGGGCAATAATGCAAGAATGGGACTCCAGGATAACATGGATTTAGTGTGAGTCAATATTTGTGTTCACATTTTCTTGATAATTATTATGCTGATGAAATGTCAACAATAAGGCCACAGGATGCTTGTTCAGAGTTTTGGAAATGCTATTTATACAAAACAAACCTAGCCTAGAAGAATCTCTGCAATAAAACAGTGTTTAAATATTTTAAAATAGTCACACTGCACAATCTTCCATTTACAAAAACCAAAGAAATTTTGTTTATTTCACATTTTATTCTTTCCAGTCGTCGTAATAGAAACACTATAAAGTTTGGTCAGCAGGGGGAGCCGTGCACTCACGTTAGCATATGTTCACCTAGTAGGTCTGCAGTAGTTTAGCCCCACCCATTCATTTAGTTCTACACAGCTGGTCAGCCTGACAGCGGTAGGGCTATTTCAATTGCCTTTGTAGTTCCCTGCAAAGGCTGCGTTCACATTACCAGGTTGAAGTGGCACAAATCAGATTTTTTGCCCGAATGTGACTCAGATCTGATGTTTTCAGGGCTGTGAGGACACAAATCTGATCTTTTCAAATCCGACCTGAACCACTTTAGCTACGTTCACATTACAAGCCTCATTGCTCAAATCCAATCTCTCTGACTCGATGGTTCACACTCGTTTAGGTAAGTGATTCAAATCTGTCATTGATGTGATGAACCGGCGTCCTGAAATGACCCTCATGAGCTCATCCTACTCAGTAACGTCACGTGAATGAATCACTGCATCATCAGCACAAACTAACGAGCAGAACGAGCTTCGCTGAGAAGATCATTAACTCTGATCAGCTCTCAGCTTCATTATTAGAGCGAGACGAAGGAGAAAAAGGTGAGATGAGCTGCTTTTCCACCGTTTACAGGCTTTAACTTCTGTTCGGCGCTGCTGCCATGGTAACGCTGAATGATGGCGCACGCGCCGTGGAACAAAATATGAATTTTAATGAATGATTTCCCAGTGATACCATGAACTGCCTATTAACCATATATGAATTAAACCATTCTAAAACTGTGTAAGACAGTGGATAAGAATCATGTGATCAGTGGTATTAAAAGCTGTTTGAGGATAAAGAGAGTTTGGGAAATGGTCAGGTAAACATGAATTATGACCACAAAAGTGCATAATTAAAACTATGTGGGTTGAAAAACAGTTTTTGTGGAGAGTTTTTGTACAGCTGGCTCTCGGCGTCCCTCTGAGACGCATATCAGCAATTTTATCAGCATATCGGTCAGTAGGAGTCAATAGTAAGTCAGGCATCGGTTTTATTAGCAAATAAAGTCATCGTAACCTCAGTGACACGTCCATTATTCAGTCTCAGCTTGTTTGGAGTCCAGTTTGGACCGCGCCGCTGAGGGTTTTGCATCATTGCACAAACTTTTAACTTTCTCGAACTTTTCACGCCGTATTTTAGTTCTTATCTGTTTGTCTGCTAAAGTGTCGTCCGCACATCTGAGCTCCATTGTGAAATCTGCTCAGTGATGTATCGCCGTGCGTTCATCTCGACAGGGGCCTGCAGCTCCCCTGCCTGGAAAAAGATAGCCAAACATGGAGAGGATTGTGTGTCAGTATCCTTTTTATCAGTGAAATCACTCAAACTGACTCTGCTCTGGGTCTGGGCTGGCTGAGTGAGCCGTGTCCGTGTGGGAGAGGACAGATTTAAGAGGTGTTTGTGTAGAGTAGGATACATTTAAAGCCTGTACATGTATTATCGCTGTAGTAGAGGCTGTCTGACATAGGGTATATTTTGGTTCTTCCATCTGAATTTACATGACCAAATCATAAGGCAAATTATTCAGTAACTGCATGAAATAAATACATTTTTATTTTATTTATTAATTTATATTTTTTTGTAAAAGCTCCCCTTAAATTAACAGAACATGTGTTTTATGATCTACACGTATTGCTATATGCTTACAATTTACCGCTGAAAGCCAAAAATCTTAGACTCTCTTTGTATTATTTTATAAAAGTCATTTTCACAGAGCAGATCACTGAAGAGACGCCATCTGTTTATAGCTTAGCCCAGATTCGTGGAAAAATTCAGCTTCTTTTATTATAAGGGTTTAAAATTAAATTTAATTAAATTTAAAATTAAATTTAAAATTACATCACCCATATATTTGACTGGATAGAAGACAGCTCTCATACAACCCCCACCTTTTGAATGTAGCTTATGAAATATGAAAGTTATGAAGAATATGAGGAAGTGCGTTTTGGAACCACCGGTGGTCCCAAGGAGTTGAAGAGGGCTCATGTCATGGAATTTTGCCTCATTGAAATAAGAGTTGAAACAAGTTTCACGCCACAGGCCGTATATGGAAACAAAGCTGCAAAAAAAAACTTGTTTGGAAAGGTTTTTGTGATGTCACAAACATGCATTTACATACACCCACCTATTCAGCCGGCAGCGGTTTAGCTACGCCCATTCACACTGAAGTAATAAGGAGTGTTTCAGCTTGAACTGTTTTTTTTTTAATTAGGCACAACACATGGCAGCCAATCAGAACAGAGCTCATTTACATGTACCAATCTTAAAGGGACAGTAACAGCCTGTATAAGTCTAAGGGGTAGAGAGAGGTTGAAAAATGGTCATGTAAGCATGAATTATGACTGTTTTTAGTACTTAAAGATATATTATGATAAGTGGACCGCACCAGGCATCCATCCCCTGGGCTCTGATGATGGCCAGCTGACAGGAAGGTGGAGCCTGAACCCCAAGTGCAGACGACAGCCTGCGATGATGGCAGGGTGGGGTGGACGCCACTCAAGTCCCGAGCCCCACCTCCTGGGCACCACCTCTTGTCCTGCAACGAGGCCTCATGTTCGATCCAGGTGGCCGAGCTGCGGAGCGAGGGCGATGACAGGGAGGTGGAACAACAACCCTGCCGTTATCATCCTACCCTTGCTGTCACTGTGGGCTGTTGTCTGCACTCAGGGTTCAGTCCCCACCTTCTTGCCAGCTCTTGTGGCCATCATTGGAGCCCAGTGGTCAAGTGCCTGGCACATGACTCCTAAGAGGAAAAAGAAAATACAAGAAAAATATAGGATATGGGCTTTTTAGTGTCCGTACCCGTTATAACAGTGGTGACCTGTGACAGACAGAGCCAGGTCTTCGGTTTGGGCCGTAAATATTACAACTAAAAAGCTCAACTCTATGATAATTTCTACTAGCATCCGTATGAGATTTCAGAGACACTTCATTTTGAGTGGTCTTTTTTAGATTAAACAACACTCAACAAACTCTCAGTACCAAGTCAAATGATGGTTAGGATTAGATTTTGGGCTGAGGTTAAGGTTAGGGTTAGGATCAGGGCCAGGGTGAGGGTTAGGCGTTGGGTAAGGTTGGTAAGGTTAAGTTTAGCATAATGGAAATAACATATTACCAATTCATCTACTTAATGTAAGTAATGTATCAACAGAACATCTTCACAATGTTTACTTCAGCGTATTCAGATGCCTCACTGATACTCTGTTAAGAGTTTATTAATCATCTACAAAGGACCACTCCAGATAAAGTGTTACCAAGATTTCTAATAACATGGTAGTGCTTAGATAATGCTTGCGCACATGAGCATTCCTAGAAATCTTCTTTGAAGACCTGGAAGGCCCTGAATTTATGATTATCGGTAGACTAATATGTAACTGGAGGGCATAAGAAGTCTATAGATAGTATCTGCAGCCATATTGTTGACATTCCAGCAGCACGATGTGTCTGAGCGGTCAATGCCAGCTTTGGCTTCTAATTCGAGATCTCAAGAAAACGTCCGTTTAATCAGAGGTGTTGATCTGTACCAAATCAATAAGTGGTCTTTGAGTACTGATTATGCACTGTTGCCCACAATAACAAATACAGACATCCGTAATTACCTTAAATACTGCTCCAGCCTACACATCGCAGGTGCTAAAGGCATACAAATCACTAGAATCATCATTATTTAGTCTGTGGAAGGTTTTCTGGTTCATACACAAGCTGAACAATCTTGAAAGGATGCTGGTTTGCTAATAGTTGTGGTCAGTTAGGCCTCAAGCATGAAGCGCTACTGTTGTAAACACTGTGAAAGCTTTTCTCTAGTATTTACTACGTTGTGTCTGCCCTTTTGTAGGCCCCCCAGGACCCAGAGGCCCTGCAGGACCCCCAGGACCCATCGGACAAAGTGTGAGTGTGTGTGTTTGTGTGTGTGTGTGTGTGTGTGTGTGTGTGTGTTTGTGTGTGTGTGCTTGTTTTGGTATATTTTCAGGACAAAAAGTCCCTGACATTCAAGTTCAAGTTCATTTTGTGATCAAATTGTGATAAAACCAGAGAAAACAGGGATAAACAGGGAGCATAATACAGAAAAGTGCTCTTCACAAAAGCTCTTTTTCATGGTTCCTGAGGTTAAGACTAGGATTAAACTTAGACTAAGATTCTTATTACATATAGTATCACATATACGTATACTTATTGCATATATGAAGTACATCTGAGTCATATTGTTAAATATATGTTCTTTTGGTCCAGTGAACATGAGATTTACACACAATGTGAAGGGCAACATGTATTTTCAAATTATATCAAAAACTAAAAAAACGGAGATACAAGGTTTTGATCCGACAGCAGCGATGTACATATATAAGACACATTATTACATACAGGCACTTATATATATATATATACATACTGCATATTGGGCATATATGTGACTCCATGTCCTGAACTGGGATAAAAACCAACATATAAACGTATATAAGCATTAATACTGTGCATGTTTTAATGTATTTCTGTGCTTTTATGTCCTCAGGGGAAGCCCGGGACTCCTGGTTTGCAAGGCCCTGTGGGGCCAAAGGGCGAGCGAGGAGAGAGAGTGAGTATAAGACCCTAAAATACGAAAGAACCCAAAAGTAATGTGTACCATCCACTCATTCTCACCTACACCATCACACATGTCCTTCTTTTCTCCTCACTCTGACCCCGCAGGGCCCTCTGGGATATCCAGGAGAGAGAGGATTCAAAGGGGAGCCGGTAAGATGGACAGCGTGTTTGGTTTACAGAGTTTTATTTGGCTTTTCCTGCCGTAATGCACCCACTCCAACTCAGGAGGGGCTTTTTAATGAGCTGATTAGTGGGATCAGGTACGTTAGTGCAGGGAAATCACCTAAACTGGTAAAGCAGGACCATCAGTTTGTTCTTACTAATAAAATGTTTACTCTATCATTAAAGAGTAACTCCACCCTAAGATCTTTTTTTTCATTAACAGCTGAAATGCTCTGCTCTGTAATAACAAAAGACACCAGCCTTGATTAAAATGTGAACACATCTTTCCAAACTGTAAAAATATCATTTTTATCATGGTCAGTTCCGCCTCTGCAGCGCCCCCTCTGGTTCAACTCTGCTATAGGCACGGATGATGTCACAGTATGCAAATCAGTCAAACTACGTTAACGCCCCCGATGCCGCCCTGCTTGTGCCGCACTCATAAATATAAAAGCATAGGACTTGCGCTGAGCTAAACACCCCCAGCACCACCTCACAAGGCTGCGATATGCCGGCTATTTGTACCAACTGTAAATAACCCAGTTAATCTGAGCTTAGATTGTAATGAAGATGTTGGACCGAATAAGTGAGGATTTTTGCGAGTTTCCATAAAGCTGCTGGTGTTGCATCCGATTCACGTTTCCCATCGCAACTCAGACTCTCGGGCGCGACTCACTGAACAGACATCAACGGGAAGCAACACTGGAACTACGGAACGCGAAACGGTTCAGGAAAGGGTTAGTTAAATGGCCGTTGTTACTGATGGTGTTGACCTTTCATCCGTACAGCCTTCCTCAAACGCTTTTCGCGCTTTTTGTATTTCCAGTGGGTTACAGTAAATTTCCGGCTTTCACTGTAATTTACTGAAGTATTTTAACAGTATATAACAGTAAAATAGATAAATTAAGCTAAAAACAGTATCAGGAAACACATTCATTCAGCATGTTTTGCACTGTATATAAAAATTATAACAAAAAAATATGCATAATGTGAAACAGTAATTAACAGTACATTTGAAAGCAGCTACAGCTTTATGAGTTGATAATAAGCTTCATGAGAATTGATTTATTACTTTCAGTAATATTACATTTACATTGATGGCTCTTATCCAGAGCAACTTACTATTTGACCATTTTACAGAGGAAGGTGAAGGGTAGTGTTAGGAGTCTTGCCCAAGGACGCCTAGGCTACGTTCACATAGCAGGTAAAAGGGCCCAAATCTGATCTTTTTCTTCATATGCGACACAGATGTGTGTCTGTGTGTCAGTGTGAACAGGTAAACACACTGAATCTGATGTTTTCAATTCCGATTTGAGACGCTTTCATGTGGTACTGAAATCCGATACGTATCCAATCTGCGGCAATGCGACGGAATTCATGCATCTTTTACGTCAATCAGCTCCACATTCGTCACAATTTCGCACTGCTGAGACTCATAAACATTTAGTCTGATGTTTCTGTACCAAAAATTAGAAGAGTGTTTGAAGAGATTTTAAAAGAAATGCTGAACGCAGCCGTAGGAGAACGAGGCTGCAGCGTCAAAGAACAGATAAAAGTCTGAAAGCAGAGTTTAAAGAATCTGAGGACACAAACCAAAGAAGTGACCGCGCCCTTTTTACAGCAAACTCGAACACATTCTGGGTGACGAGCCCAGCTGTCAGTCAGTGAAGCTTCATGATGGCTCCTGTGATGCTGGTGAAGATGAAGCTGATCCTCCGGGAGCGACTGGCGTTCGTTCTTAGTCATGATTGTTTACCTCCGGATGAGCCGCATGAAGCTCTGTTCTTTTGCGCCTGCGGGTCGGTTTAGGAGCTGATCTGTTCAGACTGATGTCGCATTCAGATCACATTTAAAAGATAATGTGAACAGCCAAACAAAATAATCAGATTTGGTGAGAAAATCAGATTTGGGCCACTTTTACCTGCTGTGTGAACGTAGCCTTATTGGGGTAGTGTAGGGTGCTGCTCAGGTGGGGGATTGAACCCCAGGCTACAGCATGGAAGGCAGGGGTGTTACCCACTATACTATACCACCCCCTACTTTCATCTATTTCATTACTTTCTTTACATTCACATGAACCTGAACATGAAACATGAAAATCTCTTTCATATTTTTTTTAATCTAAATGTGAAAAAACGCATCTGCACACTTAAATCTGAGTGTAGAGGTGCTTTTTTTCACATTTAGATTTTATTTTTTAGCACCTTAGCCAAGACTGTTACTGGATAAGCAGCGTTTTTCTCCTTGATTTTTTATAATTTTTGAAATAAAAAAGTTTTTTTAAAAAATTTAGATTTTAGTTTCATTTTTAGACAAAAAAAATTGTTCAGAAAATGTTATCCCATGTTTCCACGTCACTACCGAAACAGAAAGAGTTTTAGTCTGTGGGCGGAGCCTTATTTTAGCCACGCCCCTGTATTTAGAGCAGGAAGTGAGGCTGCATCCCTCATGGCCACATGGTGAGCAGTTAGATCCCATTGTTTTGAAGTAAATGAGTCCCAAAGTCTGAAAATCAGTGTGGAACATTAAGAATCGTCATATTTTCTGCAGTTCAGCACTTTTTAGTGTTTTAATGTAAAATGTGATGATTTTCTGTGTGAACAGCTGTTCAAAGCTGTGTTTGCTGAGTTTTTGAGCTCAAAATGAGCTAAAATTGTCACTGAAACAGTCACTACTGACACATTTGGTACAGTTTGGTAGAGTTATGATTGTTTTGGTAGTGACAAAATGGAATGTTCAGTCATTAGTTTTATTAAAATAATAATAATTACGGTTTAGAGTCACTCAGAGCAAAAGGATTTTAGTGTAAAGTCCAAAATCAGTTAAAAGTCCCAAATGTGTTTCAGTGCTGACTTTGAACCAGTTTAGTAGAATCATCCATAAACATAAAGGTATTTTATTAAAATATATATATATATATATATATATATATATATATATATATATATATATATATATATATATGTATAAATTATAAGTTATATATTTATAGAAGTTATTAATGTTGGTATTGGCCCAGAAATTTCCTAACACACTTTAAAAAGTTGGTTCTTCAAAGGTTCTTCAGTGAAGGCAATGGTTCTACTTAGAACCATGAGTTGTGTATAGAACCATTTCATTTTTAAATAGTTCTTTGTGCGGTGAAATCGTTCTTCAGATTGATGGAGAATGTGTTGTATATGGTTCTATATAGCACCAAAAAGGGTTCTTCTGTTCTCAGAATGGTTCTATATAGAACTATATACAACATCAATCTGAAGAACCATGTCACCATGCAAAGAGCCATTTAAGCATGCAAATGGGTATATGTCAAACTCATGGTTCTAAACAGAACCACTCCTTTTACTAAAGAACCTTTGAAGAACCCTCTTTTTGGTTCAATACACAACCATGAGTTATGTACAGAACCATTTCATTCTTAAATGGTTCTTTGCTCGGTGAAATGGTTCTTCAGATTGATTGAGAATGTGTTGTATATGGTTCTGTATAGCACCAAAAAGGGTTCTTCTGTTGTTACAAGCCTCACATCGGATCTATAGCAGAACCCTTTTAGTGCTATACAGAACCATTCTCAGAATGGTTCTATATAGAACTATATACAACATAAATCTGAAGAACCATGTCACCATGCAAAGAGCCATTTAAGCATGCTAATGGGTGTATGTCAAACTCATGGTTCTAAACAGAACCACTCCTTTTACTAAAGAACCCTCTTTTTTCACATCGTTCCTGAATGGTTCTTTGCGCGGTGAAATGGTTCTTCAGATTGATGCAGAATGTGTTGTATATGGTTCTGTATAGCACCAAAAAGGGTTCTTCTGTTGTTACAAGCCTCACGTCGTATCTGTAGCAGAACCCTGTTCAGTGCTATATAATAACTATATAGAACACCAATCTGAAGAACCATGTCACCATGCAGAGAACCATTTGAGCATACAAATGGGTGTATGTCAAGCTCATGGTTCCAAACAGAACCCTTCCTTTTACTAAAGAACTTTTGAAGAACCCTCTTTTTTAACCATTTAAACATTTCCTCCGTAGGGTGAACCGGGACCGAAGGGCGAGCCCGGAGAGAAAGGCCTTCCGGTAAGCGTGTTTGGGACGGACCTGCTGGTCTCCATGTTCTACACCTACCCCCCTCCCCTTATAGGAGAGGGCAGGGGAGAGAGCTGCCTCTGGGGCTGTTATGCACTGTCTGAGCCATGTTGACTGTGTTTAAATGTGTACAGTTTGAACTGAAGACAGATTTTGCTGAGTTTATGCAGAAGTAATGTCTCTTCTGTGACTGCCTGTCTCTTTCTGCCTCCTAATCGTTGTGCTAGAGCGATTTGAACGTAAGGGATTTTCGGCCTTTTTTCCCCGCATCGCTGTTTTTGCCCTGTTGTTTATATCAGTCATCCTGCTATTCATGTTCACGACGGTGTGCCTTAACATCAGCCAATCACGCTTGATCCTTCAGTGGAGTCTCCAGCTTCTTCTAGCACCAAATTCAATCTTACACATGTTCCCTCAGGGACAGCGAATCAGTGAATATTTGAAGCTCAGAAATCATTGGCGAATCTGATGGAAGCTCCACTGAGAGGATTCTGCTGCTGAACTGCTTCTTCACTGTACTTTGTGTTGGTTTTTGAACGCGCACAGATTGATATTGTGTTCCTGCACCAGGGGTCTGTCTCACCGAGCACGTTCAGATTAGCAGAGAGGTTTAGCTTCGTTCTTCTGCAGTTCAGCTGCCGTTTTACACAACTTTCTCCTTTAACCCAGATTTAGAAGCTCAAGAACCTCAAGCTATTGTTTTTCAGTTTTTGACATAATTTAAAAGTGTCTGTTGCTCTTTACATTGTGTGTAAATTTCATGAAGAATGGACCGAAAGAAACGGCCCAAAATGATTCAGAAAGACGTCTGGTTCCATTGACTTACATTAAAAGTAAAGTAGGTTTTTTCCTTCTCCTGTAAAGTTACCATGTTGGAGATACAAGGTTTTCTTCCGACAACAGCGATATGAATTTAATTAGAAATTCATTCTGGATAGTAATTTTATTAGAAGTTCATTGTAGATATTGCTTTACTTGTAAATGATTTCTGGATAGGAAATTTATGCCCAGAATCCAATTTTATTATATGATTTAAGAATTTCTGTTTTATTAGAACTTCATTCTGAATATTAATTTAGTAGAACTTTTTTCTGAATATTATTTTTTTAACTTTGTTAAAAATATTGTTTTTATTAGAATTTCATGCTGATATTAATTTTACAAGAACTTCATTCTGATATTAATTTTATAAGAACTTCATTCTGGATCTTAATTATATCAGAACTTCATTCTAGATATCAATTTTTTAGAACTTTATTCTGGATCTAAATTTTATTAGAACTTCATTCTGGATATTAATTTTATCAGAACTTCATTAAAGATATGAATTTTATACGAATTTCATTCTGGACATTAATTTTATTAGAACTTCATTCTAGATGTAAATTTTTTCGCACTTTTACCATAAGTTGCCGTGGCAATGTAGCCAGGGGCCGGGGGCGGGGGTTGGTAGAAAAGTGAACTACTGTCGTGAAATAGAAAATAGTAAAGTCAGCTGAGTGACCGCTGCTTTGTGAGACAGACTCTGATGGTCCATCTGTGGTCACGTATTTGCTGTAATGACCTGTCCAGTAGAAGTTGCCCTTTAGGTGCTGATCTGAAACATTTTTGCAGTTTTTCATTCAGTGGTCAATGTTAGAGTCCAGACAGCCGAGCTGGTCTCAGGTGAGCATTAAAGGGCAGCTTCTACCCGTTTGATGATTTGTTGTTTGTTTGTTATTGTTGTTTATTTCGGTGGTGGGGGTGCTGTCTCTGAGTGTTCACCCTGCGTCCTCTGTCTGACCCTCTGCCAGCAAACTGTCTCCATAGCAACATCTCACAGTCACCTTCTTCTGGCACGCGCACAACAAACACCGAAATATGATTTATAATATATCTATGATTGTTTCTACTGAAGGACTGCTGCTCCAAAGTTTGGAATCATAACCATTAATAATTGTTATTGGTCATTTTAGATGTTATATTCAGTATTTCAAATGTGAACAACAAGAAGTTATTAAATGAAAAATAACCTACTGTAATTTTCTATGTAAAGATAAATCAAAATTTGATTACAGTTTTCATAGCATTTGCTGAAACATGAGGCATTCTGGATTTTAATATTATTATAATTTCATTCCAGAAATTAGTTTTATTATTTTTTTCTGGATATAAAAATCGTAATAACATTTTTCTAAATATTAATATCTGTATATTAATATTTTATTAATATTAATATAACTTAACTCTGGATGATAGGTTTTATTCTAATTTTATTCTGTTATTAATTTGATCAGAAGTTCAATCTGGATATCAATTTTATTAAAACTTAATTTGGAACATTCATTTTATTATACATTTTTCATTCTAGGTATCTTAGTTTTATTGTAAATTCAGAAAATTAATAATTTTATTACAGAATTAAATTCTGTATAAATTAATATTAAATTAATATTAATTTAATATTAATTTATACAAAATTAATATTCATATTAAATTAATATCCAAAACCTCTTTTTGGATAATAATATATTAGAACTTGTTGTTTTAGTACATCATTCTAAATGTTTATTAGAACTTCATTTCGGATATTAATTGTTTAGGTACATCATTCAAATATTATTTTTTATTAGAATTTCATTTTGGAAAATGATTGTTTTAGTACATCGTTCTAAATATCAATTTAATTAGAACTTCATTTTAGATATTGATTATTTAGAACTTTAATCTAGATATTAATTGTTTTAGTACATCATTCTAAATATTAATTTTATTAAAACTTTATTTTAGATATTAATTTATTAAAACTTCAATCTGGATATAAATTTTATTAGAACTTAATTCTGGATGTTCTACTGCTTGTTCAGTCACTTTACAGTCATCTACAGCTCTGTTCATCATTCTGGACACATCTGATAAAATTTCCTCATTTTTATTTACAGCTTCCTAAACATTATTTGAAACTATAATAATGTAACACCATATTAGAATTTTATACCTTTATCTGTTTAATATGTAGAAAAGAATGATTCCAGACTTTTTGCACAGTCGTCCAAAAGTGGCGAATCATCTAAAAACTCAGCTAATTGATCGTTTTAATCAGTCGGCTGATGTTTTATAGCTACTGAATGATTCAGCATGAGCGGATCAGCATAGCTGCATCTTGATCAGCTCCCTTTACAGAGAGAGAAAAACTGACCTGAAGAAAAAGACGAGCTCGTCCGAGGCTCTGATATGAAAAAAGTGTGTAAAAGTTTGGGCACCCCTGTTCAAATTCCACGTTTTTGTTGAGTTTTTTTGTTGAATTTTAGTTACACATCCTCTACAGAGACACACTTCAGCACATTTTAATACACAATTACTGTTTATTTGCTGAATTTTACACATTAAGCTAAAAATAAAGCACAAAGTGTGGCCTGTGCAAAAGTTATGGCACATTTTTATATTTTATTTTTTTTTCCAACAAGTTAAACTCAGCAAATAAGTAGAAATCATGCACTAAAATGTCCTATTTTTAGTTGTTTTCTCTGTAGAGGAACCTATTTTCACGTAAAAAAAAATCAACAAAACGTCATTTGACCGGGGGTGTGCAAACTTTTGCACACGACTGTGTGTGTTATGCTGTGTGCGTCCCATAAGCCTCTGTGCTGTAGTGATTGTGGGTACAGTGGTGCTGCTTTTTGGGTGGTGGTGGTGGTGGGTGTGTGGGGGGGGGCTCTGTGGAGAAACGTGAGTGGATACAGCTATTCTCCAGTGTCCCACAATGCATTGCTGCATGGCCCCATCCCATTGCGCTGCATGTGACCTTCATGTCTGCCTGCTGCTCTCACATCTAACCCACTCCTCTCCGGTATAATAAACACGCGGCGTCACTCGAACCATCGGCTTTCAGAGCACTCAGTCACAGCTGAGCAGAGACTGAGCCCGTATTCAAGTACTGACACTGTACTGCAGTGAAACAGTGACGCAAGAAACTGCCAGTGCTCAGTGATTTCCCCCAGGATGAGCAGTTTCACTGGATAAAGCAGCTTAAAATGAGTAACACATGTCTAGAAATAAGTAAATAAATAATAGTAGTTATTATTGCTGTTACTATAATAATAGTATTAGTAATAACTTAAATATGGTCATCTATACATTGAGGTTATTCTATTTTAATATCATTTGTCGTAGTAATTATAATGAAGAACACTGCAAAAAATGGTATCTTGTCAAGTAAAAGTATCTTTATTTTCGTCAATAAATCTAATATTTCTCTTGTTGGGATTATAGTAAGCATAATTCACGATTAGTTAACTTATTTCCGAACATGTTTTACTTGTTTTAAGTAAATTTATCTCACTAAATTGTCTGATAATTTTGCTTGTTGTAAGAAATTAGCTTGAAACCAGCAAATTATCTGCCAGTGTAGATTTTTCTTAATAAAATGATCTAAAACAGGTAAAAATGTCTAGAAATAAGCTACATAATCTTACAATAAGTGCACAACCATCTCAAAATAAGAAATATTGGATATATCGACTAGAATTAGGATTGACAAGACACCATTTTTGCAGTGTAGACATAAATTAAGGCCTCAATTATATTGAAAAAAGCTCTTTTCTCTCAGTTCTTTGCACTTTCTTGCAAAAATTGTGTTATTATTCAAAGAACAACAGTAAAATATTACAGACCAACCGGCCGCTTACCTTGTGTCTGCACTCACTGTCCATTTTATTAGCTCCACTGACCGTATAGTTTCACTCTATATTTCTACAGTTACAGACTGTAGTCCATCTGTTTCTCTGCATACTTCGTTACCCTGTTCTTCAGTGGTCAGGACCCTCATGGACCCCCACAGAGCAGGTACTATTTGGGTGGTGGATCATTCTCAGCACTGCAGTAACACTGACGTGGTGGTGGTGTGTTAGTGCGTGTTGTGCTGGTCTGAGTGGATCAGACACAGCAGTGCTGCTGGAGTTTTTAAACACTGCGTCCACTCACTGTCCACTCTATTAGACACTCCTACCTTG